ACTTGTCAAAGATCAAAGTACATCAAACACCACAGAGAAAATGACAATATGATCTGCGTATTTATTCTAAAAGCCAGCTTCGTTGAATCATTGGTAGCAACTTTTCAAGAAACAGAAGTGCGAAATACGCTCCATACCCCATGACCAAAACTGAATAGAACATATTTCCAACTAGTTCTAAAGTAACTCTGAAAAAAATTCGTCCTCAAAACGAAGTTAGCCATAGACTTGAAAATTATACTGAGCAAACACGTGTTAAGTATTAGGTGCCATTCAACGGAAAATTTGGTTCTGCAGCAAAACAAGTACCTTAATCAAAATTCATTAAGATAACCAATTTTAGAGTCGTAAGACGACAATCACCTATTTAATATGAGTAAAAGATCAACAACCTATAAAAGCTTGCTTGTAAAATCTAATTTTATGAATGCTAGATTTTGCCTTTTTCTCATTGTACAAACTTTAAAGTTTGAGAACTGGAAAAGCAAAATTTAACGACAATTCGGTTGAGTGTAGAGTTGAAAAACAAAACAGTACAAAGCCGTAATGGCAGCTATAAGACACCCGTCGTTAACAATAAAAATACCATTTAGCAACGAAACGAAGAAACAAATAATAGCAAATGAACAGTATGAAAAAATAGAGATACTTTCCAAAAATGAAATAGAAATCTATTCATATATGTGGGGTTCTATTTTAGTTCATTGTAGAAAATGTACAAGCTAGCTACAATTTCTACTTAGAAACTGATACTTCACAATAATTAGAATATAACAAATAACTATCTCTGTATCTAAAGTCTCATAACGATCACACATATGGTGGTTTAAGAATTCTCGGAATAAATTTCTGCATGTCTACAATAGAATTCTGGTAACAATTAACGATGCCATCCTCAACAAACTGCTTTTGTTTTACTAAGTAATCACTTAATTCCTGTAAAAAAATAGGTAAATCTACTTGAAGAATATACCAATAACGAAGTAATGTGAAATCAAAAAAACCTCGCCGTCGTCGAAATCCACCTCAGGAAATATTTGCCCACGATTTTTCAATAAATTTTCTGCTTCCCCAAGCATACTACCAATATCATTGGCACCCTTCTGCACACACTCAGTTATCTTGGCAAAGAAAGATGAACATAAATTTTTTTTAGATCCCTAAAACGAAGTTACAATTTACAAGGTTACTGTAATAGGGCGAAGAGTACTAACTGCTACAAAAATATGGAAGAAATTTAAGCAATTCAAGAGGAAATAGAATGTAAAAAAATAACGATAAAAAATCATATATAATTAGAATATGCAATTAGACAGTTTAACTTAAATAAAAAAAAAACTACGTACTTTCTTAGGCTTAACTATATCACAGTAAAGTCTTTCCACCAGCGACCCCAACAGTTTCAATGTTATGGTAGCAAGGGTTAATGTTTGGACAACCCTACTACAATGTCGGAGAAGATTATGGAAATGTAAGGTTTTCTTCCACTCTATCGGACACTTTACCAATTCTAAAGCAACGTCAACTAGACCGAAATATGAATCAGAGGTGCTCCTCAAGAAGAAAAGAGAATATCAAAGCTATTGGCAAGATACATTAAAGCACAAAAACTAGAAATAGATATTTTATTCTTGTAAAAGTAAGAGAACAATAAAAAATGCTGAAAGAACCTGCAACTGTCTTTTCCAATGAACCAGCATCCGGAACGCAGTTGCGTAGCGCCTCATCCACAGACCCGTAAACCTATCAAAGAATACATAGTTATCTAAGCTAATCAAAGATACCGTCATCAATGCTGTTAATAAGCCCTCAGACTGACAGAACTAATCTACCAAAACCGGCGCCAAGCAGACTGTTGAAAAACAAAATTTAAATGGACTTATTAGTTAACAGCTACACCAAAAATGTATATAGAGAGAGCACAATCCCCTTTAGAAATTTCTAATCAATAACCCTTTAATTAAATAACAGTACTTGGTGCCCATCAATTTTAGACGAAGATTCTAACAGATCCGACGCTGTTGTGAGAAGCACTATAAGCAGATCTAAATCCCCACCATAAAGGAATTCCGTAATATAAACTGGAGGCGGCGACTGCATTAATTTGCTCTGTAACAAAGAAATAAAAAGTTTATGAAAGCAAAAGCAAAATAAACTAAACCCTAAAAAAATAAATCAACACCTACTTCTTCGTAATTTCTTCCATACTGAGACTTACAAAATTCGTATTGTGCTTTCAATTCCGTTAGAAAACCTGAGAACTTCTCAGCAGTAATGTCCTGGATTCCTGTAGCAGCAACACAACGAAGAAGCAAATTTTTCAGCTTTAGACATGCAACCTTCAAGTAAGCAGAGTCACAAGAACTAATTCTGACGGCATTGTCAGCATAACTATTACGCTATTAAAAAACCACATTCAGCACTCCGACATTTTAAGTTACCTGTTCTTGGAAAGATTTTGATTTCTCCTCTTCAATAACACTTCGTATATGACCACCTTCGAAAGAAACAATTGCGAAAAGATCTCGATTATCTTGGACAGCACCAAAGTCTTAAACAGTAGCCCCACAGATATTTAATAAAGCTTTAAATTGAAACGAAGTAACTTCAATTATCCTAAACTTCCCTCAATATGTCTTTTCAAATTTACTGAAAGCAAAGAACTTACCAATAAGTCCTTCATCACCAAATAAAGTCTCTACAATGTGTTGCGATTTGTCAACTGCAAAACACGCACTTAAGGCCCGATTTTCTATATCCGCACCGGTAGCAATAAGAGAATGATTAATTGCGTCAAGAAATTCAATCAAACGAGGTATTTGCAAAAAAGAACCATTTTCGTATGCCGTGACAACACTTTCTGATATCTAAAACAAATAAGAATAAAAGTTGATAAAATTTATGGAAAGTATTACTAAACTTAGACTGTAACGCAAATTTTCAGGCGGTAGCTACGAATATTGCCGTTATTTTATTTAAAGTTAGAGAACTAGTAAAGAAACTAACTTCTTTCTCTGACTGATCAAAAAACAGCGTCAATTCAGTGTAATAAATGATAGCGGCGTTATAACGACCATACTGCTCGAACAAACCGAAAAGAAAATAACCTAGAATTAGGTTTAGTTACAAATCCGTAAACTTCTTAAATGTTCAGAGTATGCAGAAAGGTCATCAATTTCTGCGGAAAAACCCGTGAACAATTTAAGGCTAAGGAATAATTCCGAGACGGCCTAGGAAAGAAAACCAACCCAGTAATTCAATTACTCTGGAAAAAAACTTACAATCAACCTCCACACTATCATCTTTCGTGCTTGTTTTTAAACTAGCATAGTACTTCAA